TGGCCATGTTAAGATTTTTCAGATTTTTAAGGCCATAAATAAATTCTGATATATTATCAATGTATTATAACTAAGATCTAAGATTTCAAGAACTATTTAAACTAGAAAAACAACATATTTGGTATATAAATGTGAGATTGTTGTGATGTATCATGAGAACTTTTAAATTAACCAAACCTTGAAAAAACTGTTCAGTAAATGAAGATAATCCATTGTAACTCATATCAATGTTCGTCAAATTTGAAGAGTTTTTAAATAAATTATCAGGAAGTGACGTCAGTTGGCATCTATCTAAACTAACATTACTAAGATATTTTAAATTAGCAAATAAATAATCACCCAAAGTCATATTTGGATTCTTATTAAAGGAAAATTTTACAGTAGTAAGATTTACATTTTGTTCAAATAATTTTGATGGTAACAAGGAAAGATTATTTGATGTTATGTATAATACAGTTAAATTGGGAAGACTGTGAAATATACTTTCATCTAATATTTGCAGCTTATTTGAGCTCAAATCTAAAGCTTTAAGATTTGATAATCCTTCGAATGCATTATTTGATATTTGCGTCAAACTATTTTTCCATAAGTTCAGCTGTGTCAATTCGAAGAGATTTTTGAACACACCATCAGGCAAATCATAAATATCATTATTACCCAACTCCAGATATTTCAGCTTTGACATACCGTCAAACACCCCTTGAGAAAGTTTTACATTGTTTGAGCGAAGATCTAGAGATGTTAAATTTTTTAAATCGGAAAACAGATCTGCTGGTAGATTAGTAAGCCCATTACTAGATAAAACGATTTCATTTACATCTGTAAGACCTGCAAGATGCTTTCGCACCAGTTCATTCGACAAATTCCTGTTGTATGTTTGAAAACTCAGTCTTTTGAATTTAGTAATTCCTATGGATTTAATGATATCCAACAAGGAATCATCTTGAGGTAAAGGGCACATTTTGAACATCACATACTGCAGATCACCTATAGCTAAATTTGGAAGCAGTTTGTAGCTTGAAGATTCTGTTATGGATTGGCATTGAATCTTTACAAAGTCTTTGAAGCGGACATCCATTAAAAAAATAGGATTTTGTAAGTCTCCATCCTGAGAACATAAAATATCTTCTACGCCTGAAGTGAAGCCCAAGCATTTGCAGTACTGAGTGCTTTGGCATCTGAATATTTGTGTATCGCTGTAAACTTGACTTACAGCAGTCATGAGAATGATGAAAATTAAGGCACTCATTTTGGAATGTAGTTCTGTTTAACGTCAGTGCATATCTGCAGTTTTTATCTGTAAATGTAAATGATTCAGGTCCTTTAGAATAACTAGATTGTAAAAATGAAGTAAAACAGTACCAAAATGTATATGAAACTAAATTGTAAAAAAAATATGAGGTTTGGTGAAAATATGGAAATGAAATTTGATGAGGATGAGATGAATGAGAATGTAACTAAATTATCTACATCCAACACTTGGAATTTTGGGATATATCCATAAAATCAATTGATAGTTTAAGTTTTTAATTCAGTGAATATAATATATAACCAAATCGTTATCCTAGAAATTATTTGTTAACGAAATGGAGTATTTAATAATATTTGTGCACAGTCCATGGTTGCATGTGAAAGCAACAATTTTTGGTTTTGCATATTTACAAGTAAAAAATAAATATAAATATAATAGAAGAAAGTACTATATACAGTTTTTTAGTGGAGAAAAATTATGACAATGTGAATATAACATTACACTTGAAAATTTTGTTCACCACCAAAATAAATGAAATAATAATTATATAGATATATAAAACGTTTAGTAAATTAATTATTTTATTAATTTATTTATTAATATTAAGTTATTTTTATTAATTTATTAAAATATTAATAAATGTTTGAAATTTGGGCAATTATAGCTGACATAGATGATGTTGATTGCTTTATACAAACATTTGCAAAAAAAGAATGCAAAATTTATGAATATTAAATTGTAGTAACTGAAAAGTGATCATTATAACTAACATTATAAATTATAAATTAGACATAAATAATAATCTCAAGGCAAAACTGAGAATAGTAATTATACAAATAACTCAGTAATTTTAGCATACACACAAATCTATTAGTATAAATAATAGAAGTTTTTTAGTGCAGAAAAAATTATGACAACGTGAATGGACGTACAACACTACACTTGAAAATTTTGTTGTAACACAAAAATGAATGAAATTTGGGCAATTTTAACAGACATAGATGATGTTGTGTAATTTGTGTAAACAAAGGATACAAAATTTATGAATATTACTTTGTTATAAAAGAAAAATAATCATTGTAAATCAAACAACTACTGATAATTATATATACTAATTTATTTAAGCATAACACCGTAGTTCTATAACACGGATTCGCTCTAACACGGTGTAAGAATTGATACCATTCCCCTTATAAAACGATACTTCTATAACCCGGATTCGCTATAACACGGTGTAAGAATTGACACCATCCCCCTTATAACACGGTAATTCTATACCACGGATTCGCTCTAATCAGTTCGTTTAAGAATTGATACCATCCCCCCTTATAACACGGTACTTCTATAACACGGATTCGCTTTAACACGGCTTTAGAATTTAGCAAAACCCTGATAAAATACAAAATATAGTAAAATCTATGAAAATCAAACTTCATTTATTCTAAAATTAGTAAAATCGCAGTACAATAGCTCAATGAATGTGAGGAAACTAATGCAAAAGATAACTAATTTGATAATTATTATTCGAGCGCGTACGTTCTATAAGAAAAATTCTAGGCCTGTCCGAACAATTAATCTTAAAAAAAAATTCTTCAAATAAAATGAGCATAAAATTTTAATAAAGATAACTTTGCATGTGGTAAATATATAAAAAATGATTACTTTTGAAAAAAAAATAATGGACGGATCTGGAGGAATCTGAAAAAATTAATGAATATAACAATATTTATTATAAAATCATCATGTGTAGCATATTTTTTTAATTCTTCAGAACGTAACCCCTGTTTTTGTACTAGTTCTTTGTATCGTATAACACGAATTCGCATAACACGCTAATTTTTTGCCATGTAAAAACGTTTAGTAATTTCAACATACAGAAATCAAGGCCTAGACAACCTTAAAAATGATATCTTCATATAAACGTTTATATCTTTTGATTTTTGCGCCGTTCAGAAAGGATAGTTAAAGGATCCTACACTCAAACGTGAGGGCGCTGCTTTTGGCATACAAATTAATGGCGCAAAATTTGAAATAAAAAATAATGAATTTTAGTAATCGAGTGTTTGAAACTAAATTTGGTATTACAATGGTATTATGTTTTGTAAAAATACAATAACAAAAACATACTAAACATATATAGTTACTATAATATAATATATAGTTATTTACTATATAAAATATACTAGATAATAAACATAATGAAATCGAAATATAAATCAACAAACGCACTGCCGGTTTAAATATATATCACATCTAATCTACTGAAATAACTTCTACACTTTTCTACTTATAATATAAATATTGATGAAATCAGTGAATAATGTATTAGAGTATTAGTTCATTACATCGTTGTCATTCTTTAACTCCTATTAATCATCCCATGCAAAAGTTTGACTTTCTTAAGCTATTCATTTTCTTCCAAGTATATCCAGATTCGTATAAAGTGATAAGCTGGAAATTTCTAAATACTTTGTCTTTTTGTAGAAGCTTATACTTGATTTCTTACATAATTTCCTACAACTGGTCTATTTAATAATACTACGATAATACTATTAGACTAATCCGTCAATGCACTATGTAGTATTTATGTCCTGTATCTGAGCTGTTCTATTTATTTAGTCGAAGGGCTATGCATTTGAGAGCACAGTAATGAAATCTTTATTAACAAATATAAAAACACAAACAAAGAAGAATCATTATTTTAAGCTTATACATGATTTCTTACATAATTTCCTACAACTAGTCTCTTTCCTTAAAGTGTAATACGATTAGACTAATTTGTCAATGCATTACGTAGTATTTATGTCCTGTATCTGAGTTTGAAGCTGTCCTATTTATTTAGTCAAAGGGCTATGCATTTGAGAGCAAAGTAATGAAATCTTTATTAACAAATGTAAATACACAAATGAAGAAGAATCATTATTTTGTCAAGTGATACAAAAATAACACTGACGTTTCTTAGTATCCGACATAAAACATTTGACAATACTTTTTCATCGGTCCTGAATCAAGGTTTATCTCTGAGCAAAAACAATATTGAAATGTGATTAATTTAATGATTGTAATTATTCTCTTCACAAAAGTGTTAAAAATATGAAAATAAATTTAAATTTGCTATTTAATCATTCATATAAATATTTAGTGAAATTTAGTAAATAATGCATTATAGTGTTAGTTCATTACATCGTTGTCATTCTTTAACTCTTATTAATCAACCAGTGCAAAATTTGACATTCTTAAGCAATTAATTTTCTTCTAAGTATATCCAGATCCGTGTGAAGTGATAAGCTGGAAGATTTCTAAATATTTTGTCTTTTTTGTAAAAGCTTATACTTGATTTCTTACTTAATTTCCTACAACTGGTCTATTTAATAATACTACGATAATACTATTAGACTACGTAGTATACGAGTTTGAAGCTGTTTATTTATTTAGTCGAAGGGCTATGCATTTGAGAGCAATACTTAATGAAATCTTTATTAACAAATGAACAAGAATCACCATTTTGTCCACCAATACAAAAATAACACTGATGTTTCTTAGTAGCTAACATAAAACATTTGACAATACTTTTTCATCGGTCCTGAATTAAGGCTTATCTCTGAGCAAAAACAATATTGAAATGTGATTAATTATGTGATTGTGATTATTCTCTTCACAAAAGTGTTAAAAATAAGAAAATAATATTAAATCTGCTCTTTAATCATTCCCTGCAAAGAAGTTTTAAATATTTACAGTAAATTTCAGAAAATGAAAAAAGGGCTCCTATTTTCAAACGGCTTACCTAAAGCCAAAATATTTCTACCTGAAGACATTTGTGTAATATTGAATAAAACTTGTGTATATATCAAATTCAGCGATACGTTCTCAAAGCGGAAATAATTTACACAAATACTGCGTAACATTGAATATAAAATTATGCAAATTTATAAAAAAGATATGATAAACATTTGTTGGTTGAAATGCATGTATGTAAAGGATGCATATAGTAAGGAACACAGGTTTGGTAAATATTTTGTTTCCTAAATATATATGTATATTAAGAATTATTATGTATTATTATTATATTATATGGGTGAAAATGTCAAAATTAAATGTGTAACAAAATATGTTGCATACATTCGTCGTACTTAAGAGGTTAAACATAAAAAACAACAGCATCAAGACGCACGGAGTAGAGAAAGCGTACAAAACGGTAAATTATGCTAAAACCACATAAAACAGTTCCACACCAAATATTAACAAAAATCTATTCCTCTACTTACATATGCACTTATTCCGTGTTTATCCTCACATTATTAAATAACACAATGCAATAATAACAACGAAACTTCGATTCGATAACCGCACTAACTAATCTTTCTAAGTACAACAAAAATCCTGCTCAACTAGAATGGGAGACGGCGTCGCCATAGAATAGTTTTAACATTTACGTATGACGGAGCGGCAATCCCCATGGGAAAATTTCACGACTTCTAACAACTTCAGGTACTGCGAGCGTCGTACTTCGCTCGTTTCGTTCGTTCGTGGTCGCAGTGATTATTTTTTAAGCAAATACAGCGATTCTCAAACTTGGGGGAAATTGGGTTTTACCCGGAATTGGATAATTGTTTTTTTTATTTACTAAATGTATTTTAGTGTAGTAGTTGTATTTTTGCAATTCATTATTTCTCATAAATTTATCTAGTACTTTATGTATATATTTTTGGTTTTAATTTTCTGAACAAATAGACTCGAACAAAGAATCCCTTTTTTTCAAAAAACGTTGTCTTAATAACAAATACGAGTATAACTAGTGGGGCGCATGGCATCGTGCCTTAAGGCAAATTGCTAGAACTTTCCGTACCTAAAATTATTTTTTTTAAAAAGCTTAACATTTTTTGAAAAAAAAGATACTCTGAAAAAATGAGATCTTTGAGAAACTATAAATTTTTGACAAAAATTTACTTTTTTTTTTGAAAAAAAAAGACTTTTTGAAGAAAAAATTATTTTGAAATATTTTGAAAATTCTGAACTTTTTTTCAAAGCAATCGTACTGCTTTAACTGCATAGAGACGAAATATCAAAGCGCATAAGCGCCGTCTCGCTGTCTAACGCATAAACATTGGTACGGAACCCATAGGAATGTAAACAAAATTTATACTTATTGTTAAAATCTCTATAAAATATCTGATAATTTGATGTGCTTAAGTCTAATGATCATTTTTGACCGCCAAATGGCATTTTTTTACTAGATCTCCGAAACCGCTAGACCTGCCTTCATGAAAATTTGATCAGTTCTTCATCTTGTTAATACAAGTAAAATGTTTTTTGAACGCTCCGTTCTCTTAAAAACTGAGTTACCGTTTTGGCACTTTTTGCCCCGTATCTACGGAACGGCTAGACCTGCCTTTGCCAAAAACTAATCAGCACGTCTCCTTATCAATACGAATCGAATGTTTTTTGAATTATTCTAATCGCTTCGTCCGTGTTCCCCCCGAAATCGTGGACGAAAATTTGTATCCGCACACACACATACATCCATTTTTTCTAAGGTATGCCAAAATATTCAGAAGGTTTTGAATCGTAAATATATATACAAATTTTAATTTTTAATTTTTTGCGATTACTATAACTTGCCCTACGGGAAGTTAATAAATACATTCTAACTTTCGTTGTATATTCATTTTTATTGATCATCACATTTTGGCATACTTCAGAAAAAATGTATGTGTGTATGTATATATGGATACGATTTTTCGTCCACATTTTCGGGTGCAGGGATCAAACGATTAGAATGGTTAAAAAATATTCGATTCCTATTGATAGGAAGATGTGCTGATTAGTTTTTGGCAAAAGCAGGTCCAGTCGTTTCAGAGATGCGATACAAAGAGTGTAGAATATAGATATCGAGTTTTTGAGAGAACTATGTATCCGATTTGAATGATCCAAAAAACATTAAATTCGTAATGATGGGGAGAAGTGATGATTCGTTTTTGGCGAAGACCAAAAGGCGGTTTTGGAGAACGGAGCTAAATGTGCAAAAAATGGTAGTTTTGAAGAGAATTAAGCATCCGATTTGAATGATTCAAAAAACTTTGCTTTTGTCGACGAAACAATTGCTTTTGGGATAAAAACATTTCAATTTCAATATATGTATTTTAACAAATTTATTTAAGTGTTTTTATATTAAGTATTATTTTAACAAATCTATAAGTATTTTGATAATACAAGTTTTTTTACCAAATTTTTGTTCATGTCAGCCATATGTGTCTGACACTACAAAGTTCTACATGAGCCATGTCAGACATATATGTCTGATATACACTATTTGATAGAAGGTTTGTCGAGAAAAAAAAGTTTTAATATGGGGTCACGTCAGCCATATATATGCGACATAAAAATAGTGTTTTTCCAGGAATTTTGGCCATACATCTTCATATTAGCGAGTAAGTGCTAATATTAAAATTTTGAATTCTAAAGTAGAATCAATTCATAATAAAATATAATTATCAAATAAATGTTTTTTTTTTAAAAGTAGGATTCTAAAAAACAATTTTTCAAGCAACCACAGTGCTTTTAAAACTTTAGTGAATTTTAATGATCGATTTGTACTACTTTTGTAGGCATATAATATTTTAGGATGTTTGGTTAAATCAGTGATTTCCAAATAGGTCCATATATAGACCCCATAGGGGACTATCAATAATTGATATTGGGACCGTGACAAAGCCCATGGGTCCCCAAAAACAAAATAGTTTGGGAACATATGAGTTAAATAATATACAAACTCAACATACAGAGTTTTATCAAAATCGCAAAAAAAAACAAAGTAATCACGTAGAAATGGCTCGGCCGATCTTTAAAGGAACTAAACAGGTTTGTACTTCGAACACGTTTATCTTTCAAACGTTTTTTTTATTTTTGAAATCATTTCAGCCGTTTTCGAGAAAACGTTGACGAAAGGTCAAAATTGCACACACACCCCACACACTTCTCCAATTTTTGAGTCAAATTGTTGAAAATAGCAAATTGGATTTTCTGGCAAAAACGTAAGTTAAAAATTAAAAAATTGTATCGTCGGAAATATGGGTTTTATATGATGCAACAAAGATTTATGAAAAAAATATATAGCGGATATCAAATTTTGAAATTTTAACAGATTAAGAACTTCAAAGTTTTTTCAAATCCTAATTTAAATAATTAAATTATTTTTTGCGGTTGGATTAATTGGATTATCAAGGCTAACTTTCTATAAAATTTAATACTCCTGTGAATGCAACATTGAAGACACTGAAATATAAACAAAGCAATTAAAAACGGCGTATAAATTGCCCATTATGGATCCAGGAAATATTAAAAATTAAAAATTAAATGTACTAAAATTATTTAAAAAAATAGTATTATCATAGAAATACCTAACCATTTCTTTAACAATTTCATTGTAAAAATACTGAATTTGTTTAAAAAAATGTAATGTTTTTTAAGCACTTAAAGTTAAGCAATGTTCTTTTATATTTCAATAATAATTATAAATTAAGTAAAAATAATAAAAAAACAAATAAATAAATAAATAATTATATAAAAATTGGTAATATATTGACATGAGTCTTGTATTCATTGCACTGTAAAATAAAAAATAAAATTGAATATACAACAACCATTTAAAAAATTAGAGTAAATTTATTATAAAAATATTAATTATAAAACACGATAATTGTGTATTCTCTTTGAACAATTTGATAATAATCTAATATTAACAACAATTAGTAACAGCTAATAGAACACAATTGAGATATAATAAGTTTATACACTAATATAGATTAGTCAGATATATAAATGAACCTATAATTACAATTTCCCTATAATCTAATATGAAGGAATCCTAGGAAGGAAAAAAATTGACAACAAAATACTTAAAAATAATTTTTCATCATAAGCTTATAATTTAATCACTGGTATTTATCATCGGGCATCATACCCAGGTAGTAAACATTTTAAAATTGCTGATAATTCTTCATTAATTTTGAATTTGTACTCTTTTGTTAAATCTTGTCTGCAATATGGACAAGTGTATACTTCTGCAGCAAAAGATCTTTTCATACAAGACAAACACATATTGTGCAAACATGGAGTTGTAATTGGTTTAACACAAATTTCTTGACAAATGATGCAAGCAAATGTAGATTGAACACAGTCAACAAATTTCTTTTCTCCTTCAGGCAATTTCTCCAGACACAGATCCCATAATTTTTTGTTTATTGTATCTTTTGATATTTTCTCGCTCTGCTCTTCAGTCAGCTTATGTTCAGGGATAACAACAGGACTAGATTCTGATTTAGCATCATCAGATTTTTGTTTTTTAGTTGCTTTACTTGAACTATCCTCAGCTTTTCTTTTCTTGGATAGTTTTTCGTTCTGTGCTTCCAAATAGTTGTCTGGATATATTATTGGAAGCGTAACACCATTTTCCTCCCATGGCGCTGGTGCAGGATCATCTCTTTTTAGTAAATATCTCCAAACTTTGAACCCAGATTGCCCAGTTTGCTGCCAGTATTTAACAACTTTGTATATACCATCATACCTCAAGCCTTCTTTTGGTGCATATTTTGGATTATGTTTAACTAACTTTTCTGAACGAATTACTCTTACTGGTTTCCCCTTTTTCCAATCTTTAGCTTCACCACCTTTTTGGTTTAAAGGTATATTACAATTTTTAGCAAGAGCTTCATTTTCCCTAGTCAGTTTTTGATCATGATTTTGTTCCGCTGTGCGTTTATTTCCGGAGAGGTCTCGACCACCAGAACCAGTGTAAGTGAATTCTAGACCATCATCCTTATCGTCTTCATAACCTGCTGCAAGAACTATGCTAAAAGCACCTATAGTTGCTTTACCATGTATACCTGAAACCGGTGGGCGATGAACACCAGCTTCACTTGCTTGAATTCTGTATTTCCAGCAAGTGCCAACCGGAACTCCTGGAATAGCACCAAAGTGATCAGGTGGTACTATGGTACATGTTGTCGTACGACCAGCACATGCCATTCCTCTTCCCCAGTCTTTGGAGGTATTTACATTCCGCACTTGTTGTTTTGTTGTACTACCGCTTTTAACAATACTATTGACATCTGTCTTGCACTCAGGACAATACCAATTATCTTCTTCTGGTAGTTTGTCCAAGGGCGGTGTTAGACATTGTATATGATATCCTTTATCACACTCATCACATAAAATTATGTTATCCGCATTATCTTTTTTTGAACAAACAGAGCAACCGCAATTTTTGCAATCTTTAGAATTATCATCACGACATTTCAAGCAGTAAAAAGCAAGGTACCTTAATTCTGTGTCAGTTTTCATTAGCTTTTCATCGGCATCAGTCCTGTCTGTTAACAGTTTGTGTGTTTCAACTTGATAAATGTCTTCTAACTGAACGACTTTACAGTCTTCTTCTCGAACGTTTTCATGTCCCATGTATAAAGTACCAATTAAATGTTTGACTTTTCTTCCTGATTTAATGTCTGATATTTCTAAATCATACCAATAGCCTCTTTCTTTGATATCGTCTGTATTATAATTAACCATAACCCTTTGTCCAGGTTTTAAATCATCTATATTTAATTTTGTGCGTGCTCTAGGTCTAATACATGCCAACTTTAATTCCATGGGTTCATCATCTGAAGACACTTTAAATTTGACCAAGTATAGAAGCCCATCATCTTTTAAATTCTCTAAGTTATTATTGGAAGTTGTTTGGGAACTCTGGCCAGCTTTGGTATTAGTCGATTCAGGATTTTTTACAATTCTAACAATTTCTCCTTCAAACCATGCACCGTGGGTTATATCTTGACCGTCTACCAAATCACCAACATGGTAATATTTACTGTCAGAAGAATCTTCAAATTTATCTTTTGGTTTTTCTTCGACAACTTTATTTGTGCAAACTGGTGCAACTGAAGGTAACTCGGACTGCAAAATCCGAGAGACTAGTTGGATTAAGTCATTTTGTTTTATTTTATAATCATGAAATCTTTTACCGTCTTCTAGCTCTCTGCCTCGAAATAAAAGTCTCTGTCTCTCGGGGGCTACTTTGAACTTCTCATCAATTAATTTTCGAAATTCTTCAACAGTGATTAAAATGGAATCAATATATATCGTGAGAGCCTTGTCGATTCCTTGTCGTACAAGTACATGCATTTTGTAGTACCTTTTTATATACACAAGCAAAAATAAAATTTCTAAATTGTAATTAAAATAATGTTAGATATTGTATTTATGGCACTACACACAAAACAACAGGATATGTTATAATTGTTATGTGACTTTATTTCACGAATTATTAAAACAGTTGGATAAAATCTATAGGTGTTGAAAACATGATGCCGCGCTGAGTTGTCAAAGCAACGGGTTTGCTTCAACAGGTTATGTTTTGGCGGTTAAAATGAAGTCGTAGAGACGTAAAAGATCCAATTCGGCGAGATGTCATGTTCGTTAACAACGCACCATCATGAGCGCCTCTGGTGGCATTTGGTAACATTAACTTTAATTAGTTATTATCACCATAAATAAATATGCATATTATCACTAATATTATTCAATTATTTATTATCACTTATAATAACTTTAATTAGTTATTATACTCTTTTTTTATCTATGGTTATTATATATAAAATGATCATGTGATGGCTAAAATATGTTTTATTATATCAATTCAATTTATATCAGTATTAGTATTTAATTCAACTTTAGTGCAGATATCAGATATTCAGTTTCAAAATCGAAACATATATTCGAATAATTCATTTTATTCAAACTATAAATTTAAATCCGAATAATTTATTTTATTCAAAATATAAATATAAATTCGAATAATTTATTTTATGCAAGGGGATATTATTATATATTATTTATTAATTACAATTAAGTATAAGTACGTATGTATGTACGCAAGCGTTCTGTGTATATGTGTATAGTATAGTGTTAGTAATAAGTAAAAATATATAAATGTCTTCATGTAAGTTTGTTACATAAAATTTAGATTTATTTTTGTTATAATTGCTGTGATCTCTCATACCAGAACAATTGCTTGACTGAGATACAGTATGTACGAATTATATCAAATAAATAAAAAAAAATAAAAAAACTATAATGGGAAGAAACATAAATAATACAGAAAATCTTATCTAAATGAATATCTCAGAAAAATATTTATAGAAAAAGTGTAATTGCATATACTGAAATATAGATACAGTATGAAATTTTGTGAAATATTTCTGAATGAGTAATTCTGATATGAAAATATATTAGTAGAAAGTTGTATTAAAATATAAATCCTGATTTAACAATATATTTTAATAATTATACCACCGAAATTTGAATGTTGATGATTTGATTAACCATGAATGAAAATTTTGCTTTGTGGTTTTATAAAGTATAATTTCATAATGAAATCAACTTTAGCATAAACTAATAGAAAACTTGTGTATGTAAATATAATAAATTGTGATTTTGTTTTTGTAGCAACTCCAAATACATATTTTATAACAAAAAAAAATTCAAATGGGGTCGGGAGTGATTTTAATGTCAAATATTTATATCATTTTATAACATCACGTCTTGATTTTTGTACGTTCTCAACTAATTTTTAAACTATATATTTTCATATATAAAATTGTATATGCATATTGTAACCAAATAAATAAATAATTTAAAAATATTTTTTTACATATGTGGGGTCGCCAAGAAAATTGCAATCATAAATGGGGTCGCGAAGGACATAAGTTTAAGAAGCCCTGGTTTAGAGGCATTAATTTTATGCGATTTTAAAACAGTAAAAGGCAAACAGTTTTTTTCACGTTATTATTTATTGATTAAAAAATATAAAAAAAATATTAAAAATAGTCGAAGTTTTAATTCTAGAAAAAGATGGATTGGGTGTTCTCAAAAAATTGACACCTGACCATCCCCTCTAAATTTTAGCCCTCTAAAAAATCTGAAGTAGAATATTATATATATTATTAATATAGAATAATGTCGTAATTTAGAAAAAAATATTAAATATAGCCATTAAGTTCTAATTTTAGAAGGTGATGAACCTAGACAATATTAGAATACGATGTATTCATTGGTGATGAAGTCGGGGATTTCAAAAAATTGGGACCTGACCATATTCATGATTTTAGTCATCCAAATAATCTGAAGTAGAACATTACATTTATTAATAATCTAGAATAGTGTCGAAATCGTATAAACTATATATTTATACCAATAGTTCGAAATTCTTTTTTTCTTACTTTTTTGATATATGTACTCGTCTTCTTAATAGTAAAAAATAGATGTGGATTATTGTAATTTATACTAAAAAGATGTCTGTAAAGAAGAATCTGCAAAAAATCATTAGGGGTTGTCTTCATTTTAGAATTTACTTTCAGTATAAATTACGCCTATTTCCAAATTTTGCGTCCAAGTTAAACTATTTTAAAAACATTCGAGAATTTTTTTTTATTTCGAGCAGTAGCAACTTTATGAAAAAATATTTTATTAACTGGTCCGTAGTTCAAACGCTTGCGACATTATTCTAGATGAATGTTATATACATATTTTTTCTTCAGACCATTTGGAGGCTAAAATCATGGGTATGGTCATATGCCAATTTTGTGAGACCCATCACATTCCAGAATTAAAACTTTGACTATTTTTAATTTTCATTTTTAATTTTTATTTTTATATTCTCAAAAAATTAATTATAAACTTGTAGAAAATATTGTTTGTTTTTTTAAGGCCTTTCAAAATTAGTTGTGAAGGATAAATAGAATGCAAAAGTGGAAGAAGTAGGTTTTTGGGGTCGATTTTGTAGAATTCACAGAATTTTAAAAAATCAAATTAAGAAACTAAAAGTAGAATAGCAGAAAAAAGTTAATAAATTGTTTAACAGCTGAAAAAATCTATTAAATATTTAGGTAATCAAAGTAGCTGGTGGATATGGTCTTATGGTCACAATGTCTAAACCAACTGTTCAACTTAAAAATCTTAGAACAAACCAAAGAGAAATAGTACTTGAAGAAAATAAATCTATTTAATGAACTTCAAAAAGAAGTTATAAATCAATGGACAAAAAAGCAAATAAAAAAGCTTTATCTGAAAATTGTAAGAAAAATATAAAAGCAAAGACTCGAACTTATCCAACAAATGATACTAAAAATCTTTTCATCAGTTTAATTTGGTCGAAGTTTGAATAAACTACGTTAGAATTTTGCTGCAAATTTGTATATATATATATATATATATATATATGTATAAATATATTTATTTATAATAAACACGTTTTATATGTAGTTCCGTATATGACTTCTTTGGATGCAGAAATGTGAAAGTAAAAACAAATATAAAACACCTGCTTAAAATTAGATTTACGTTCTCATTTTAAAATATTTAAATTTGGGAAATATTTAAAATATAAGTTGCTACATATTTAAAAATAATCCAAATTCGTATGTAATTGACAACGCTGAGAAAAAATAGGGAATGGCGTTCTGGTCTATGCACTTTAATTGGCATTTTAATTAGTTTGCGATGTTTTTAATAAAATCGTTTTCCATAAAAAAAAACAAAAAAAAAACGATTCAACATTTTTGAAAATATTAAAATTTTTTAATTATATAATAAAGTATTAATACTATCCGAATGTGATGACTCAATTATAACCCAATCCAAAAATCGTTTTGTTCGGTATAAGAATTCATTTTATAGAAATCAATTCTATAAAACAAAATTAGTTTGAATTAAGATATATACAATTAGTTATAAACTCCAACTAGTGTTAATTAATAAATTATAAAATATCGGGGACAATTATCAGGCCGATAATCCGATAATTATTATAATAATCCAACACGATAAAAGAATCAAGTCAATGTTTATAGCCGTAGACAATAATATCATAAAATATATTTCAATAATAAAATCTTCAAGCATTCGCTTTTTAATATGTATAATTTCTTCTTTTTTGACCATTAGCATCGAGATGACCAAGAGTTCGATTTAATTTGCTATTTGGGTCACTAAATTTCGTATATCAACTTTTTTATAATACTTCATTTATTTATGTTCTGAATTTATTATGCAAATGTAGAAAAAATTGTGGGAATACTACATACTAAATAGTTCTGATGGTAAAATTTTATATTGATAATGGAATAGACTTCAAGTAAGTATTAATTTAGACTAACTAAAAATTAATTTTTGCATTTTGATTAAACTGGTTTGCCTTAAGGAAAGTTGCATGAGCTTTCCGATATTACACATATCGACTTTATCAATAATAATTCAGGTTTTAAAATTGATCTCATATACTCACAATTATTTTTTCCATATTTGGTCTCAAATGATTCAGAGTGACCTGAAACAAAAAGAAATCATGAAATTAGTATGCCGGATTTTTTTTTCCAAAATCTTTTTATTAAAGTTAAAAAATGGTTATTTTAAATAAAATCAGATTTATCTGTTTTATTGTAATTATGCTGCTTTATAGGTAGAACATTAGTAATCTAAATTTATTTTAATTCATAATACTATGGTACTGGTATACCAATTCCACATACTTCTTTTTAAATTTCCATATAATTACAATCTGTCTGGAAAAGCTTGCAGAATGCTTAGAGACTAAAATTTTGAAATAAAATTTAAAATGCTATTCAGCGGTAGTCATTTTAAGTTTAAAAATGAATGTTTAATGTAGATGATATTTTATAACATATTTAATTAATTAACTTGCTAAATCTGAAAAGCTTATTTTTTTGAGACTTCTGAAGATGTTTGAGGAAAGCAGACCTTTATCAAGTTAATTTGGATGATTTCCCAGGTAGTCTGGTCCTTAGATGCAAGTATTCTAATTTTTTCAGTCATTGTATACAAATTGAAGTTTTGGTGGATAAGCCAATTTGGAACATATTTGGTTAGTGAGACTTTTAATGTCTTTTATTCCACATACTTAACAATATTAACCAAATATCATTGTATGTTTATATCTCATAAAAGAATAAAGAAGATTTTATTCTTATGATCCATAGTTTGGCTTTCTCGTGAGGTTCCTGGTTCCATACCTGCCTTCGGGCAGCAACGACATCGGTTTTTACATCGTAATATAGATATGAAAATATGTTTCCAAGTGAAAATAAGGCTTGATTTGCTTTACCGTAATAATAAAAATTCAAGACTATTTTGAAGATAGTAATAATAAAATTCATCACAAAGAGATAAGTCAACTGTTTGAATTGCCATCTATAAAACCGA